CAACCTTCTTTTTATGAAGATACTTGACAAATATTCTTCAAAATTCCACGATTTCACCATTAAGGTCCTTGAAGTCCTTGAAATATGTTCTATAGAGATACGCGATTTCGCCATGAAGATCCCTGAAGTAATATTCTTTAAAAGTCCGACCCAGCTCCATGATGTTCCTTAAAAAAATATTCTTTATAAATCCACCCTTGAAAACATGAAAGTCCTTGTCATCGTAAATGAAGATTTTCATGAAGATCCTTGCCAAATATTCTTCAGAAATCCACGATTTTTGCCATTAAGGTCCTTGAATTATATTCTCTAGAAAACCACAATTATCGCCAAGAAAGTCCTTGAAATATGTTCTATAGCGATTCACGATTTTGCCATGAAGATCCCTGAAGAAATATTCTTTAAAAGTCCGACCCATCTCCATGAAGTTCCTTAAAAACTATTCTTTAAAAATCCACCCTTGTCCACATGAAAGTCCTTGTCTTCGTAAAGGGCCTTGAAAAACCCAACTTTCTTTTTATGAAAATTCTTGCCAGATATTCTTCAGAAAGCCACGGTTGTCGTCATTAAGGTCCTTGAAAAACATTCTCTAAAAATCAGGATTGTCACTATGAAAGTCCTTAACAAAAAATCTCAATAGAAATCCAATAAATCTTTAAAAGTCCACCCTTGTCTCTATGCAGGTCCTTGAAAAATATTTTTAAAAATGCAACCTTGTGTCCATGAAGATCCTTCTCTTCATAAAGGTCTTTGAAAATAATCTTTAAAAATCTAATCTTATTTTCATGAAGATCCTTGCCAGATATTCTTCAGAAATCCACGATTTTTGCCGTTAAGGTCCTTTAAAAATATTCTCTAGAAATCCACAATTGTCGCCAAGAAAGTCCTTGAAATATGTTCTATAGCGATACACGATTTCGTCATGAAGGAAGAAATATTCCTTTAAAGTCCGCCTCTATCTCCATGAAGTTGTTAAAAAATATTCTTTTGAAAAACACCATTTTCTTCATAAAGGTTTAAATCTTTAAACATCCAACCTTTTTTATGAAGATCCTTGATCCTTGCCCTTGGCAAAAATCGTGGATTTTGAAGAATATCTGTCAAGGATCTTCATAAAAAAGGTTGGATGTTTAAAGAATTTTTTTTCAAGGACCTTCATTTTTTTTTTCTAGAAATCCACAGTTGTCGCCAAGAAAGTCCTTCAAAAATATTCTTTAGATATCCACGATGGTCGCCACGAAAGTCTCTGAAAAATATTCTATAGAAATAAAATATAGAAAATTTAGAAATATGTCATTGTATTTCTGAAGATTTTTATATACATTTCTTTATAAATCTGCGATTGTCGCCATTAAGGTCCTTAGAAAATATCCTTTAGAAACCTACTATTGTCGGCATATAAATATTCTCTAGAAATCTAGGATTGTGACAATGAAATTGCTTGAAAAATATTCTCTAGAAATCCAGGATTGTCGCTATGAAAGTTCTTGAAGAGCCCTTCTTTATAGTCCAACAGAATTTATAACAGTTTTTCGCATTTTGGCATTGATATTCTTCCTAACCATTTAAAAAATGGTTAATTCTAATATACTTTTACCTTTTTATTCTGAAATGGCATTTACATGGGTCGAATGTAATCTGATCTAATTCAAAACAATTGCTAAATTAATGTGAATACCAATGTATTTAATTATGCAGTGTTTAATTACTGAAACATATGCCCAAACAACTACCTGCCATCCAACAAACAATGAACTGCGACGAACTTTAGTGACATGGAATATGTCGTCAGTGTGTGACCTCTACTTTCATGTGAAAACTTTAAATATATTCGGTCTTGTTTGTTGTAGTTATCGGTGTGACAACGAATGGGTACTTAGCCAAAGCAAATGGCATAGAATCCAAGCTCTGTGCACTGTCGTTTTTGTTCACATTCTAACCTGTCTAATGCTGGTTTGTGGTATTCTCTCGGCCAAGGAGTTTCGAATGAATAGTTTCAATAAAATTGGAGATCGATTCTTTGTAGTGCATTTCGAACTGAGTGCCTTATTGCTACTGATACTCTACTGGTACTTTTACATCCAACAACGAAGAAACTTTGAATTTCTGCAGATAATTTTCAAATTTCATCATGAATGCGGCAGGGAGACCGCTTCATGGCAACATCGAAAATATTATTTGATGTACTTTTTAAATTGTGCAATTTCCACATGGATGTATCTCTTCATATTTGCCTTCAGCGAAATGCCATTGGTCACCACATTCTCCTATATGTTGGTGTTCATTTCAACGGCATGGATAACTGGCATCCTTGTCCTGATGCATTTAAGTGTTATGCGAATTATGCAGAAATCTATGCGATACCTAAACCAAGAATTGCAAACATTGTCATTTGTAGATTTTGAAAAGTTTCAAAACATTTTGTCGAAACGTAACATGTTGCTTCATCTTGGCTTACGAGATTTGAATCACAATCATGGTTTTGTATTTTTGCTGATCGTGGGATTTGTGATGGCAACGGGAGCCAGTGGTCCGTTTTACATTGTATCGCAATATATGGTCAAATGGAATGAAAGGCCTGCATGGTATTATATTTTGATAACATTCAATAATGTGATATGGAATTCGCCGATTCTGAGAATATTTCATGCAATGTCGGCCTGTGATGGATTCAATAGAGAGGTAAATATGGCAGAGGTTATATAAGGTATTCCAGCATTCTAATCTCAACGGATTTGGAATTTTGTAAATTTAGAATATTAAAAAAAAAAAAATATTTTAATCAGCTGTAACAAAAACGTCGATATTTAAAAAAATATATGAATCTCATCAATAGTGAATAGAGTCCACAAACACGTCCTAATTTTCCCAATTAAAATTTTCAAAATTTCTAATCTTAATGGATTAAGAATTTTGTAAATTTAGAATAATTAAAAAATGAAAATATTTTAATCAGCTATAACAAAAAACGTCAAAATTTTAAAAATTACAAATCACATCAATGGTTATAGAACACAACTTCGTCCCAATTTTCCAAATTTAAATTTTTTGACTCAATGGCCGTGATTTTTTTTAAAAACTCCATATGTGCTGTTAAAAATAAAGATTTGTAGATTTTTGAAAAGTATTTTTCAGGCAACAATTTTTGAGAAATACAGAAGGGTGGATTTTTTTTTAAAAATATTTTCGAAGTTTTTAATTTTTTTTGGGTCAAAGGAATTGTCGGTCAAAAATAGTGAATCCATTAAAAATATTTTAAAAAATCAGGCATTGTATCTTTTCCAATAATCATGGATTTTTATACCTCACACCTCCAATTTAATTATTTGCATACAATCTCATTCTGAGTCGATTTATGCTTGTCCGTCCGTCCGTCCGTATGTCCTTGTATTTTTATGAACAAAGTACAGGTCGCATTTATTGTCCGGTCCAATGAAATTTTGCACAAGTCATTTCTTGGACCCAAGGACGAACCCTATTGAAGATAATCGGTCAAAATTTAGATTTAGCTTCCTTATACAGGGTGTGATGAAAAAACTGCAACCAACATCAGACTACTGTCATTTCTAAGCCACTCGTCCGACAGCTGTTATAAATTAAACCAGTGACAGCTCTTTATATTGTACAAAGCAATTTGTTTAGGATTTTCCAGAATAAAAATATTCGTGATAAAATTCAAGCGAGATAGTGTTTTTTTGTATTTGGCTGGAAAACCACAAGTGGCTTCCGTTAGAGCACTCCAGCATTTAAATGTGAATAAATCCGATAGAATAAATACTGGTAACGTAGCCCGATGTCAAGGAAGTGGACGGAAGAAAACAGCAACACTAGCAGAAATGGTTCGAAAAGTAAAGAAGCGTCTTGATCGAAAGCAGCGTCGCAGTGGTCGAAACATGGCTCGTGAGCTGAACATATTGCAATGTTCCATTCAGCAAATATTGAAAATGAGCTCGGGGTAAAGCCATTGAAATTCTAAAAAGTGCCGAAAGTGGTGAACTGTCGAATTTGGTTTTCTCCGATGAGAAAACATTTGTTGTCCATCACGCGTCACCTAAAAATGGTTACAATCTGAGGTTCTTCGCTTCATTTCCAGCACACAATGGCCACCAAAATCTCCGGATACCAATTCGTTGGACTATTGTGGGGGAGGTATTTTGGAAAACAAGGTTGACACTAAAAATACCAAAGTGTCAATGACCTCAAAAGCGCATTGCCGGGAATGGAACAAAATACCCCAGAGCAACATTCGGATAGCGTGTGACGGTTTCATTGGCACTTTGAAGGTCATAATTCGTGCCAAAGGGGACCAATTCGAAAAAATCTAAACTTATTCTAAAATTTGATGCTATTTCCAACATTTGTTGCTTTCATTCAATAAAATTTAAAAAAAAAAAAATAAATAAAAATTATGGCGTTTGACTTTGTTGCTGTAGCTCGACCTGTATATCTTCGTCCGATTTGCCTTTTATTGTGTACCAAACGTGTAATATTAGCTTAAATGGGATAGAATTTGCCACTTACGACCAAATTTATCCTAGAAATAAGTATGTCAAATTTGGTGAAAATCGGTTCAGATATCGGTTCAGCTATAGCACCCATATATATTGTTTATCCGATTTGTTATTTTTGTTCTTCAAAGCCGTAATATGCACTCCGTAACAACAATTTTCGGGGAAATATTTCAAATATAGCTCAGAAATACATTTGCCAAATATCCAGATCGGTTCAGATTTGGATATAGCTCCCATTTATAACTTCGGTCGTTTTTCTTCTTGTTGTGCACCAAATCAAATGGGATGAAATTGCAAAAACCATCAACTTTTGTAAAACTCCCTTGATTGTGGATTTTTTTTTAATATTTTTCAACAATTTCCTGGGTGGCTCTACCTTTTCAAGATTTCCTGGCCAAGATGAGTATATTTTAATAATTGTAATAATTGAAAATAATTGTAGCTTTAGTATCTCATGTGAATGTGAATGGATTTACTTTATTTTTTTTCTTTTTTAACAGGTCAGGGAAACCTCCAAGATTTTGTGTCGAATGTCAACTATGGATTGTCAGTTCAAGAGAATGGTATAATTGAAAATCAATTTTATTTGTTATTAACATTTATTTTTCATTTTCTAGATTGATAAATTTTTGTGGATAAATTTGCACGAAAAACCAATCCTCAACGCCATGGGATTTTTTGTAATTTCACGAAAGTCTGTTTTCCAGGTTTGTAGATATAAATATATGACATAAATTACAATTAAGAATATATATTCATTTTATTTGCAGTGTTTGGCTTTTATTATAAGCATAATGTTGGTTCTGGTGCAATTTAAGGAAATGGAAAGTGTCACGGATAATCAATCCTGAGGGGTTAATGAATTGTAGTAAACAAATCATGTGTTTTAAAAACATTTAATGTCAATTGATGGTAGTACTTAATCAAAATTTTAAAATTATAAATATTTCCCAAAATTCAATTTGTTATTAGATTATATAAATGTAATTTGTAGCGATAATTTATAAGTTTGATGTATTTAATCGAAATAACTATATTCGGTTTCCTATGTGCTTCAACTTTACAATACCAACATTCCGTTCAAAAGTGTCACTAAAATCGGTAGATACCGAATATCGTAAGGTACCCGGGTGAACCTATAATTTCTGCAGCATGAATTGGCAGTTATTACGATCTTCAAATATCGTATTTCGAAATACCCAATTCCAAATTTAGTACCATTTATTACAATTACAGGGTGAGGTGAAAAAACTTTAACCAATTTCAGACTGCCGTCATTCCTAAGCCACTCGTCCGACAGTTGTTAAAATTATTCCGGTGACAGCTCATTATATTGTTTACAAGCGTATAAAAGCATTTTGGTGAGAATTTTCCAGAAAAAAAGTTATTCGCGTTGGAATTCAAGCGTGATAGTGTGATTTTTTTATATTTGGCTATCTTTTGTGTCTCGTACCATCACTCGTTACCGTGATACTGGTAGCGTAGCCCGACGTTAAGGAAGTGAGCGGAAGACAGAAAAACAGCAACATTAGCAGACATGGTTCGAAAAGAAAAGAAGCGACTTGATCAAAACCCGCGTCGCAGTAGCTCGTAAGCTGAACATATCGCAATACTCCATTCGATAAATATTGAAAAATTAAATTCCAAAAAGTGCAAGAACTTACACCGCAACAGAAAGAAAATAGACTCAAAAGAGCTAATGAGTTACTTCGTTTGACCGAAAGTGGTGAACTGTCGAATTTGGTTTTCTTCGATAAGAAAACATTCGTTGTCCAACAGTTTGTAAACAAACAAAATGATCGTGTTTACTTTCCATAGAGGTCAGCTGAAAATGTGCACCTTCGGTTGGCCACCAGAACTCAAGCGCCGGCCATGGTTATGGTGTGGGTCGTCATAACAGCCGATGGTCGTTCTCCGCTCGTATCAATCGACCGTGGCATCAGAATAAATGTTGAATATTATCACGAAAATATTCTGGAAATTCCAACAGGACTCAGCATCATGGCACTCAGTACGCGCCACCCAAGAATGGTTACAAAATCAGGTTCATCGCTTAATTTCCAGCGCACAATGGCCATAAAAATCTCCGGATGCCAATCTGTTGGACTATTGTGTCTGGAGCTTTTTGGAAAGCAAGGTTGGCACTAAAAAATACCAAAGTGTCGATCACCTCAAGCTAGAGCTTCGCCGGAAATCGGCCAAAATACCGCAGAGCACCATTCAGGCAGCGTGTGACGGTTTGAAAGCCATAATTCGTGCCAAAAGTGACCAATTCGAACAAATCTAAACTTATTCTAAATGTTAATGCTATATCTGACATTTGTTGCTTTCATTCAATAAAATTAAAAAAATGCAAGAATTATGGGGTTTGACATTTTTGTATTTTTATACCCTCCACCATACTATGGAGGGTATATTAATTTTGTCATTCCGTTTGTAGCTCCTCGAAATATTCATGTCAGACCCAACAAAGTATATATATTCTTGATCAGCGTAAAATTCTAAGAAGATTTAGCTATGTCCGTCTGTCTGTCTGTCTGTCTGTCTATCCGTCTGCTTTTGTAATCACGCTATCTTTCGAAAAAATTGAGATAGAAGGCTAAAATTTTGCACACATGTATATTTTCCCAGTAGGCAGGTTAAGTTCGTAAATGGGCCATGTAGGTCCAAGTTATTATATAGCCCCCATATAACGGTACCTCCCGATATTCGGTATTTTGATGATTTTAGCGACATTATTCACTGGAATTAATTCAATTTTGGTATTTGAAGTTCGTAATGGATACTACAGCCTAAGACAGAAAATTATCTGTGCAGGTCCACGTCTTCATATAGCCCCCATATAACGGTACCCCCCGATATTCAGTATTTTGATGATTTTAGCGACATTGTTTATCGGAATCGTTTCAAATTTGGTATTTGAAGTTCGTAATGGATACTTCATCCAAAGTCAAAAAATGAGACATGTAGGTCCACGTCTTCATATAGCCTTACATAACGGTACCCCCGATATTCGGTATTTTAATGATTTTAGCGACATTATTTACAGGAATTGTTTCAAATTTCGCATGTGAAGTTCGTAATGGTTCAGCCCATGCCAGAAAATTGTCTGTGCAGGTCCACGTCTTCGTATAGCCCCCATATAACGGTACCCCCCATGTTCGGTATTTTGACGATTTTAGCTACATTATAAACAGATTTTTCTTCAAGTTTCGCATTTAAATATTGTAATAATTTATGACAAAAGTTGCCTATGCAGGCCCACGTCGTCGTATAAGCATTCGGTATTTTTAAGATCTTAACAGAATTTTTAACGGTTTTTTTTTTGGAAATTGCCAAATTTGTACCAAATGGTGGAGGGTATTAAAAGTTCGACCCGGCAGCTTTTTTACTTGTTTTATACTAAATTCATTTTAAAAACAAACTCTAAATCTCAACCTCTGATACCAACGGTAACCTAAATATCAACTTTCAGAATTTTATCTCGTTTATCAAAACTCTGCTTTCGGTACTTTCTGTACAAATATAATACACATTTCCCAAACCACCTCCATATCTCAATTCCAGATACCAATAGAGACCTCAATATCAAATTTGAGAGTTCCAGTTCCATTCCTTTACCCAATACCAAATTTAGTAGGATTTATTAATTTTCGGTACAAATATAGGACACATTTCCAAACAACCGCCAAATCTCAAACACATCAGCAATCTAAATATCTAATGCCAGAATTTTATGTCTATTCCTTCATCAATACCAAAGATGGTACCATTCAGCACTTTTATTATACCCTCAGCCATATGGCTAGAGAGGGTTCGGTCAAAACGTGTCTAGTCGAAATAACGTTCTTATACCCTAGGTCTCTTTGGACCAAATCTGTTTCAGGACATTTGGAGCCGATCTAGCGATGTCCGATGTCTGGCTGGGTCGCACGATAAATCTTGAAGGGAGTAACCGATTTGGTCCATATTTGGTACACCGTAGTATTATTATCAAACTTAGATCGATTTCGGAGATGGGCAATACTTGTCCACTCCTTCTGGTACCTCCGCCACAAAGGGTCAAAATTTTGAATAATTATATCTCTTATAATTTGTAAAATATATAACCGACTCTCTTCAAATTTCACACATCACAATATTTCTACTGACGCATAATCTGGTGTGAAGATGAAATATATCAGACCACTCGTAGTAAACATTTCCAAAACCAAGATCCATATCAAACTTACTTTCCAACCCTGATTGTCATACCAGCTTCACCAAATTGTACCATTTTAGAAGTTTTAGAACTTTTCTAGCTCCGTTTCCGTTTGTCCAATATCCATTTTCCATTTTTTGTATTCTTTAAGTATGAATTCCAAACACCCAGCCTTATCATCTTCCTCCACCTTGAAAAGGAAGGTATATTCTATTTATGATGAGCATAAAATTCGATTCGATTTTAAGTCGATTTAAAGATGGCCATCTGTCTGTCGTCTGTCTGCCTGTTGAGAGCTTCAAACTTAGCAGAACAATTTGTATTGTCTCTGTGATGATTGATATTGAAAATGAGATATATCGGTCCACGTTTTGGTATAGCCGCCATATAACGGTATCTCCTGATATTCGGTAATTTGATGATTTTACCGACAATTTTTTACGGAGTTGTCTAAAAATTTGTATTTGTAGGTCTAGCTCCGGTGGCGAAACATTGTATGTATAGGTTCTCGTTTTTGTATATGTGAATACCTACCGGTCTCCGCTCTCCACTCGTTCACACAGGATCTCCGGATACCAATCCGTTGGACTACTATGTCTGGAGTATTTTGGAAAGCAATGTTGGTAGTAAAAAATACCAAAGTGTCGATCACCTCAAGCATGCGCTTCGCCGGGAATGGGCCAAAATACCGCAGAGCAACATTCGGGCAGCGTGTGACGATTTCATTGGCCGTTTGAAGGCCATAATTCGTCCCAAAAGAGACCAATTCGAACAAATCTAATCTTACTTAAAAATTTGATGCTATTTCCGACCTTTTTTGTTTTCATTCAATAAATTTTATAAAAAAAAAATATATATTATGACGTTTGACTTTGTTGGAGTTTTTTTTTATCTCACCTTGTATAATGATATAACGGCATCTCCGGCTTTTTGTTCTTTTGTTCTTTTTTTGTTTTAAAGATTTTTTAACGTGAATAACGCTTGAATTCAGATACTTTTATATAAAAATGTTTTCTTTAAGAAAACAATTACATATTTGTAGTGAAGTGTTTGAGTTTAATAAACATAATATTTTTATTCGTTTTACAAAGTTAATAAAGAATTGACGAATGGGCGCTGTATAGCTAATGGGTGCATTGTTATCCCCCATGCTTTTCATTTTCGGAGATTTGTCTGCTCAGTTCATGAAATTGCATCATGATTATTAAATAATTCATTATTGATGCCAGCAGCTGAAAGGGAAAGGGTTAATTATATTATTTTTTTAAGAATTTTTAGAATAGAATAGGAATTTGTCTAACTCACCTGGAATAATGTTCTCTGGTCCAGTGCAAAAAATCCCAAAGCATTAAGTACCGGCTTCTGTTGCAAATGTTTCCACAGGACTTTATCAATCTGAAATAATTGAAAAATTGAATTACTTAGCTAAAGAGGGCATCAAAACGTAGGCCATGGACTCAAAGAGAATGATAGAGGAAATTAAATTCTTACCACTCTCTTAAATTTATGTTTACTACTGCAATTCCGTGAAATTATCTGTATAGTTTTATTTACCTGAAAGAATGTGGAATAATTACTAAATATTAATTCAATAATGTTTATATTTAGATGTTATAAAAAAAAGCTTTATAAATTGTACTTTAATCAGATTAACAACACAAAAAATAACATTCAAAAAAATAAAATCAAACATCCCAGTCCAATATTAACGAAATGGTTAGAACATCAATACTTGGGCCGACAGATGTATACCCTCGTCCAATTTTCGATTATTTAAATAAATTTTGATTTCCGTTATAATTTTTCAAATTGATGACCCTCTACGGAGTAGATTCCGAATGAATGTGTCAATATTGTACCCATTTCGTATCGGACCTAAAATAAAAATAAATATTGCGAAGCCCCAGGTTTGGACTATATTGATTACTACCTTCACTTTATATGAGATATGTGATAATTTTAAGAAAATGTTAAAATGTACATGAGGTACCAGATATAGTCGACCGAAGAATTCAATTTTCATACTTCATCTAATATAGAAAAAGATATTAGTATGGGTAAAATTACAAGAAAATCGAACATTTATATCCAGTTTTATGCGACATCAAAGATTCTATATTCTGGTCGCAAGATTAAAATAAAATTATTGAAAATTGTGACCCTTCGTATGTGAAATACCAGAAGGGGTTCACAGTTATCCATGAAATAAAAAAAATTGCAACAAAGTAAAAAGCCATAATTTTTACATTCTTTTTAAATTTTATTGAATGAAAGAAAAAATTGTCGGAAATAGCATCAACTTTTAGAATAAGTTTAGATTTTTTTGAATTGGTCACCTTTGGCACGAATAATGGCCTCCAAACGGCCAATGAAACCGTCACGCGCTGCCCGAATGTTGCTCTGCGGTATTTTGGCCCATTCCCGGCGAAGAGCTTGCTTGAGGTGATCGACACTTGGCTATTTTTTAGTGCCAAACTTGCTTTCCAAAATACTCCGGATACATTATTCCGACGGATTGGTATCCGGAGATTTTGGTGGCCAGGAACATCATTCTGTAACCATTCTTGGGTGCTGAGTGCGATAGTGCTGAGTCCTGTTTTAATGCCCAAAGTCTGCGGCCAAAATGTTTGCGTGCCCAAGGCATTAATACACCCTCCAGAATATTTTCGTGATAATATTCGGCATTTATTCTGATGTCACGGTGATTAATTCGAGCGGAAAGCGAACATCGCATGGCTGGCGCTTGAGTTCTGTTGGCCAAACGAAGGTGCACATTTTCAGCTGACCTCTTTGGCAAGTCAACACGATCATTGTGTTTGTTTACAAACTGCTGGACAACGAATGTTTTCTAATAGCAGGAAACCAAATTCGGCAGTTCAGCACTTTCGCTCAAGCAAAGCAACTCCTCAGCTCTTTTGAGTCTATTTTCTTTCTGTTGCGGTGTAAGTTCTTGCACTTTTTGGAATTTCAATGGCTTTACCCTGAGATCATTTTTCAATATTTGCCGAATGGAATATTGCGATATGTTCAGCTCACGAGCCATTTTTCGGCCATTGCGACGCGAATTTCGATCAAGTCGCTTCTTTTCTTTTCGAACCATATCTGCTGATGTTGCTGTTTTCTTCCGTCCACTTCCTTGACGTCGGGCTACGCTACCAGTATCACGGTAAAGAGCGATGGTACGAGACACAAAAGATTTATTCACATTTAAATACTGGAGTGTTCCAACGATAGCCACTTATGGTTTTCTAGCCAAATGTATAGAAATCACATTATCATTCTTTAATTCACGAATAACTTTTTTTCTGGAAAATTCTTAATTCTCAAAAATTCTGTCACTGGAATAATTTTAACAGCTGTCGGACGAGTGGCTTAAAAATGACAGCAGTCTGATGTTGGTTTCATCTCACCCTGTATATGTCATCTTTACAAAAGATCTTGTGTTAGATGTGTTAGTCTGTGTGAAATTTTACGACAGTTCAATACTTATTTCGCTTTTTTGGGCGTTTTGTTTTTCAAAATCTTGAATCCTATGTGGGGGAGGTAGCAGAAGGAATGGTCCGATTTCTTCGATCTTTATAACATATCTTGTGTTGATGGAAATATTGAGGTGTACCAGATCTGGATGGGAACGGATGTTAATTTCGCGTTTTATGAGCTTCGTGGATTTTAAAAAATTTGACCCTTTGTGTGTGAGAGAGGTACCAAGAGGAGTGGAACGATATATCCCATCTTTACGGAAGATCTTGTGATCTTGGTAGAAATAATGGGATTTGTAAAATATGAAAGGAGATGGATGTTTATTTCGGATTTTATAATCGTTTTGGTTATTCAAAATTTTGATCCTTTGAATGGAATGATCCAATCTCTACCGTCTTTATAACAGATCCTGCGTTCATAGAAATATTGAGATGTTCTGAATGAAATCCGATGTTAATTTCGAGTTTTATGAGCTTCATGGTTATTCTTTGCGGGGGAGGTACAAGAAGGAGTCTACCATTTTGACACCGGACCTTGGGTTAATAAAAATATTGCGATGTATGTAATTTGAAGTCAATCTGACTTTTGCAACACATTTTATAAGAGTTAGGCTGGAAATACATAAAGCGCATATTTGGCTGGCTTAAGGGCGCAAGTACATAAGAAGCTTGAAGTCATGGCTGAGCATATTTTGTGATATTTCATAAAGGAATTACAGAGCCGCACTAAAATCCTGCCGTCGTTTTCCTTTATAATTTGACATTAATATGCCTAGCCATGACTTCAAGCTTTTTATGTACTTGCTCCTTAAGTCATCGGCTGGCTTCTTCGTAGATGAACAAAGGAGTTGTAGGTTGACTTAGTTCGATTTTGGCCGTAGGCTCCTTTGTTCATTTCCGAAGAAGCCATCCGATGACTTAACCCAGCCAAATATGCTCTTTATGTATTTCCAGCCTTAGAATTATTTATAATTTGTGAACCTTTATGGGGAAGATACTTGGTGGAGTGGCCCAATATTGCCCAGTTTCATATCTGAAGTAGTACAGATGTAAATATTAGGATTTGCAAAGTTGGAGCGAAATCGGATTATCCTTTCTTTTTCGTGCAGAATTCTTTTTTTTTTAAAATTTCGGCCTTTTGTGGGGGAGTTACCAGAAGGAGTGGATCGATACTGCCCATCTCCGAACTCTAGATCGACTTAAAATGTCCTGAAACGGATTTGGTCCAAAGAGACCTAGGGTCTAAAACCGTTATTTCGACTAGGCACGTTTTGACCGTTTTAAATGATATATATATACCATCATTAGCCATATGGCTGAGGGTATAAAAACATCACGTTTATGGTATCCGAAAATCCTTCAAATATTCCAAAAGCAATTATAGCCTATAGGCGTTCATATAAATGATAATCTACGACTGCAGACCCTGAGAGTATTGAAAAAATCCACGAAGCATTAAAGAAACCAACAATACGGGCACCCAAGGACTGTTTAAAAAATTCAGGATTTTATTATCATTCAACAATATTATTTGTTATAAAAATTGCCGATTTTAGCTCCTGTTTATTCCACGTAAATAATTTTAAATTTTTTCCTGATTTGGGTATTGATCAGTATTGGGCATTTAAAATGACCCTTGCAACAGTTTTTACTTAAAAATTAAATTTTTGATATATCCGCCAACAATTCTTACCTCCTTATGCAGGCCGCCACATTTCGCTATCACAACACCTAAAACTATATACGGCGTCCAGCAAAATAATGCTATAACACTGAGTACAGTTTTATAAGCTACACCCATTCCGTTGTCTCTCTGGATAATAAAAATCAAAATATATGGCACCGATGGAGCGGTAATCAAAACATATCCCAACGTGATCATAAGCAATAGAGCAAAATGGTGATTCAAATCGCTATAGCAAATAGCCAGCAATTGCCAACGTCTTTCAAGAATTTCTTCCAAATATTTCACATTGAGAAATTCATTTCCTACTAATGGAAAACGTCTATTTAGAATTTTCAAATAGTTTTCAATTATTTTAACACTGCTCCAATACAATGAAATGAAGATGCCCAAAAGAGATGTGGTGCCGGAATAAATCCATATACAGGCCACTCGGGCTTTCCAATCGTTGAGGCCATCATAAAAAGTCACAATATTTAGGAATATGTTCAAATGGCTGATTGTAAAGAATAACAATATGTATCTGCGCGACAAATGTCAATTGCTATTATTCGCCGAACTTAACTCGTTATAGTATTCAATAATATGTTGTAAAAATGCGATATTTCTTCGTCGATTTAAATAGAAATATCCATTGACGAAGGAGAGAACAAAACAGGCAATTATGTTCCATAGTATCGAATGATGATTTGCCGTTTCTGTAAATA